TGAACTATACATATGTTGTTTAAAATTGATATTTAATATGGCTACAACCATATTTGGATTCGATACTCTAGAAGTAACGGACTGGAAGCACTTATTCTTCTAGCAACGAAACCTATTGTGGTAACTGGAAACTCGAATGTGTAATATTGATTTTGAACCGTTCTCTCACAGAATTGTAGTTTTTGGTCCTGGAATGGGTGGGACGCGTATGAACCTACACTATTCGAGTTAAAAGCGAACTGCAAGAGTAATTATATTTTATTAGCCCACGCAAAATACTTCGAATCCGCTAGCCGGACAACATCAGCAATAACCCACTGTGTGATAGAACAAACCAGATTCCAGTGGAGGAAGATTTCAGGAAGAAGCGATCGAAGTGGATAGGGCGCACATTGAGGAGAGCAACTAAATGAATCACAAGACAAACCTTCATTCGGAATCGTCAAGGCGAAAAAAATAGAGGAAAAATAAACTACACATTAGACCGAGAAATGGACACAGACATGGGAAGAATGCACAGCAATTGGACAGAATTAGAAAGGAAGGCCCGGGGAAGAATAGGTTAGAGAATGCTGATCAGCGGCCAACGCTCTACTAGGAGTAACAGGAGTAAGTAAGTGTTGACTACAGTATAAATTTAATCGGGATATCTCTCCTGTATATTCCAGGTTACTCACACTCAGACGCCAGAATTGGATGATCTCGGTTATTTAAACTTCAAAATAAAAGATCCGCACACTGTTAAGTAGTATTTATTTTTTGGAAGGTCTACTGTTTAGTTGTAGGTACAAATTTCAGCAAAGTCACGGATTATTAACTATTCGTATGTGTGGACAGGTATTCTGAACATGGTAGTGGCACCAGACAATAAAACTACCGAAAAATATTACAGGATAATTGATACGATACGGTCTGGTAGGTACATCAGATCTAGTTGTCGTGTCACATTAGCGCGTGAAGAAGGAGTTGTTAGTTCGGACCCCACCGTAACAGTAGTAAACGTACTGTAAAAGATGATAGTTCCAAGATGTGAATCGAAACGTATAACCCAGTGAAGTGAATTCAAAAGGAGAAAATATGGTCTCGAAGAATCCGAAATATTAGATTGCGAGAGAATACAGAATATCTTCTATTCTTTCTGGCCATTTTTCGCATCCATATAATAGGATAGAGCGAACTGCTGCACAGTACACTCGTCCTTTAGTCAGCAAACGGATATCTCGACTACGCCATAAGTGACGAAGGCTGGCAAAAGCCAGTTGAGCCTTATGTAACCGCGTGGTGCGCGCTACTTTTAAGTAGCAGAAGATGGTGGAAGATCAAGAAAGGAAGAGTGGGAACACAATGGAATTTGTATGAAACGCATGAATAGTGAAATGTCAGAAAATGGATTGATGATGGATTGAAGATTTGCAAATTAACAGTTACGATATGGTTTTCCTATTTTACTGAGTAACTCTGTAATTTTCGTTAAATACAATTCGGTTTCCCTCACATGTGTTCTCCTTCACTACAACCGTGCTGGGATTTCGTCACACACCAGGCCGTCAATCCAACAAACCACATTTGAACTGATTAGACTGAAATACGTTTCTTAGTATTGCATTCAGGGTTTCTACAGTTTCTTGTATTCAACAATTACGTCAAAAGAAAAATTCTCTGTGTAATTTACGCGGGTCCAATGAGAAATCAAATTATGTCACAAATCACGAAACGTCTAAACAACGATTCTCACTATACAGTCAAACGTTTCTCATTAATAAAATAGCCTACTAAATAGCGAAATATTGTTCATAAATACAAATTTTAAGTGCCTGTAAAGAAACAATGACGTTCTGACGAAGACGGATCACACTTTTATATACAAGGACCAGAAACACCAACTAAACTTTACTGGTAGACATTCGAAAAAGGGGAAAATCGAAGTAAGTAGCTGTTCATTATGGTGGAAGGTACAAAAAGGAGAACGAAAGCTTGTGTAAATACTGATAACTTTATTCTTATCATCTACTTTCATTGTTATGTCTTTTTATCGAATGCCATGCGCTAGATCATAAGATATGAAGATGAGTAACCATATCAAAGCGACTTCCTTAGAATATGCAAACAAGCACGAAAACGTAAACGTAGGTCAAAGGATTGGCAAGCTTAGGAGAGCAAACTCAGTATCATGGATTAGTTGCCTAGTCCGTAATCATAAAAAGTCTGAAACAATCAAAATTTTCTGCCTTAAAAACGTGAGTTGGTTGGCAAAATAGCCCTCGCCATTAGCGTTTGCTTGTTACTAACTCCGTTTCCTGAATTTTTGGGTCGTTCAGATGATTTAAGGTGACTGTAAGATATGCACATCTCCAGGCACCAACAGAGGTTGAATGGGACGAATACTTACACGAATCGAGCAGCAATCAGATACGTGATTAAAAGATCGAAGCTTTCTCCACTTGTTAAATTCTAGCATTTTTCTGTGTAAAGATCAGGATATTACCTGTGATGTATCATAGGACATCTTAACAAAAATTACCACTGTCAGCTTGGGATCTTTCAAAACTAGGGAAATTATATTAAATAACATAGTTATAAATATGAAACTCAAGAAAACGACCGAAGCGATTCCTCATTCATGGAGTGTTAGATTTCTTCATTGTTTTAGCATGAATGTGTGTGAAAATGCTTTTACAATCCTTCTGTGTTATGATAAGCCTTTATCTTCACTCAGACATTAGGCAGCAATTTTCAGTGTTATTGTTCGTAGATTTACAATTTATTTTGATTTGCATAATTCAGGAAAAATTTAGTTTGTCCAAAATTCTAGTTATTCGACCTTCCACTGAATGTATTCTTAGTCGTTACTGTCAGATTCACTGAAATAACAATACCTAAGTGATAGAGACCAAACTTTGTGTTGAATAAAATATGTATTGCTGCTCGAAACTTTGATCACCCAGTTTTTCCGTAATTTTCAGAACTTCGTCTAGTTTTTATCATGTGACTGATTGCTCACCTCTGAAACTAATTAAAATTGTACTTCAGATAGGTGTTTTATTTTCATTGGATCCACTCTGATACATTGGTTTTTATTAGTTTACATCTCGGTTGTTATACAATCGTCGGCTCAATGTCAACACGAAAGACTCATTCAGAGATGTAACGTGCAGGTCACTGGTTTTATTACAATAAACCAAGGTTTTAACTTTCAGCCAGATTTTGGTGGTTTGCACTTTTATTTACTTGAAGTTTAACATAATAAAGGCTAGACCTAGCAATCAACTTCCGTACAAGAAGAAGTATGAACAATCCCTGTGGATGAAATTAACCAACCTGCTGATCAATTTACATGTTCAGACACCCAGTAGTTTTATAAAGCAATAAATGTGAAATAATGCAGAACCCGAAAATTCCACCGCCTACCGACATCAAAATGAGCCGGTAGTTTGACAGAGTAAGAATCTGTGAACAAAATATACGACGTCGTTTTTTTCACGCGTTGGAAACTGCTCGACGCTAACCCTAACTGACATTCTTTGGAAATTAATAATGATAACAGCTATTATTAATGTTTCTGCCAGATATCTTTACTACCACCCCGTCCCAGCCACGAAGTAAGTTACTACCATGGTTTTCAGAATCAAAGTATTGGCTTCCAGAAATAGGGCTTTAGCTAAGATAAGCTGAAACAATAGTGCCAAATCCTGTGACTCCTTTGATGTTGCAAACGCGACATTATTCACGCTTATTCAGAACCACCAATGAAGTGTGAAAAATTATTTGTGTTTTAATGTTGTTCCTTAACTTTATTTTTCTTACGAAGAAGTCTAGCTTGAAATGCTCACTTTTTTCCACAATTTGTGAGGTTAAAGTTGAATAGATTTGGGTCACGTCGATCGATTAACAAACGGTTTTCGGGATTAAACAGGTATATATTTCTCTGAAATGCGCAGCGTTGTGAGATTTTGACAGTGATGCTAACCATATTAGCTTTATTAGGTTAGATCCGGACAACAATGCAGTCATACCCGATGCCTCTTCAAGTTCTAACGTATGAGTATAGGTTATTATGACTGAACCTTCAAGTTTAACAAAATACCAGAGGAGTTGCTACATCATATGATGTCCCTCCCTTTCTCAATTTCATAATTTAGCTCAATTGATGATGAAATCTTCCATGCATATCTGTCCCTAAAAATATACTACGTGACTGATAACGCTATTCTCTTTATTTTTAACTGCTGTTAAAAAATCCACTTGCTATACATCAAATCGTCAAAGGGATTTTACGCCTAAACAGTTGAAGTATAAGCAGCCTCCTAGGTTTGTCAGTACTGATGCTAACAAACATTACCACAGATCCGCCATATATATGAATGCCATTATTAAGTCGAAAAGACAAATCAACCATTTTCTATGACCTGAGCATTTAAGGTTCTATTTACTTGTACCTGCAGCCCATTTATGAGTCACAGATTGCTGATTAACAGTTCTGAAGAAGAGTTAGGAACCTTTTTTCCGATAAATACGAAAATGTTTAAAAACTATTTTATCATCAAACACTACTACAAGTTAATAGGTAGAACAGTCTCGTTATTACTGATCCTTCCCCTACTAGTGATAATTCTTATGATTAAATCTGCCTCCAAACTGAGCTTCACCTATCTATGGGATCTCTAAAAATAAAAGGAAAAATCAAGCAAATCTTTTGATCGATATCTTTCATTTGATCTTAAAGAATTTATTTATTTGACCGTAAAATATCCAGCTTGTTCAGTGTTCTTCCGACCTTCAGGAAACATAGTTAGTAAAATGCTTTCCCTCTAACAGTGAATACATTTAAAAGGGACACTAATCCTTGAAAAACATACTAAACTCAGTAGTTGGGATAGGTCAGTCATTTAAATATGTTTACTTCTGAACTGTGAAGACATTTGCAACCTGTTGTTTAACTGTTTCACTCGAGTCTAGAAAGTTCTATCTTCAGTTAGTTGATAAGGGCGGGTTTTGGCAGGATGGTGAAGGAACACGGTTATTATGATTTACTTGGTGTATCGACAACAGCTCCTGTAGAGGAGATTAAAAAGGCCTACCGCAAGTTAGCCCTTAAGTATCACCCAGACAAATGTCCAGAAAACCCAGAAAAGGTATGTTGGCCGGTGTTACTGTGACTGATATAGTTTAAAGAAATCACTCGAGCATTTTCGGTTCTTAGCGATCCTGATAAAAGACAACTGTATGATCAAGGGGGCGAGCAAGCAATTAAGGAGGGTGGAGGTGATGCAAGTGGTATGGCAGACCCAATGGATATATTCCAAATGTTTTTCGGTGGTGGTCGTCCTCGCGGACCTCGTCGGGGCAAAGACTGTGTGCACCAGCTATCAGTGACTTTGGAAGAACTATACAATGGCAGTGTTCGAAAACTTGGTGTAACACGGAAAGTCATATGTGATAAATGTCAAGGTTTGTTTGTTTTGGAACTCTACTATCTTTAGGTCGTGGTGGCAAAGCTGGTGCAGTTGTAACCTGCCGCACTTGTCGAGGAACAGGCATACAGACCCACGTCCGCCAGTTAGACGTCGGATTTGTTCAACAGATTCAGACTACGTGCAGTGTATGCAAGGGAGAGAAAGAAATTATTGACCCCAAGGATTGTTGTAAAAAGTGCGAGGGCAAGAAAGTTGTTCGCGAAACAAAGGTAATCGAAGTCCCGATAGAAAAAGGGATGGCCGATGGTCAAACGATCAAATTCCCTGATGAAGGTGATTGCGAACCGTGTTTACAGGCTGGCGATCTGATCATCACCCTTGATGAGCAACCGCATAGCCGTTTCATCAGACGTCGTGGCGACTTAATACTCACTATGGTCTTGTCACTCTCAGAGGCCTTGTGTGGTTTCCAGCGGACAATTCATACATTAGATGGCCGGACGCTAGTCGTAAGTTCTAGACCAGGTAAGCTTTTGTCACAGGTCTCACAGATTATTTATTAGGTGAGGTGTTCACGAACAAGGACTTTCGTGCGATCCAAGGAGAAGGTATGCCTAAGTACAAAGACCCGTTCACTAAGGGTCGGCTCATCGTAAAGTTCGATATATCATTCCCTAAAAATGACTTTATGCCGAAGTCCCAATTGGATTCGCTGCGAAAATTACTACCCCCACCTACCTGTATTGAAGATATTCCTGAAGATGGAGAATTAGTTGAGTTGCATCCTTTTGATCCTGAACATGATCACGAACAACATGAGCGCCGAAGAGAGGTATACGAAGATGTAGACGGTTCGGAGAGTTCAAACCCACGGGTTCAGTGTGCGTCCGCCTAATGTTTTATTATTTCAAATACCTGAAACGAATTGTGGAAGTACACTTTGAGTGTGCTCATTTGATATGAACATCTGGTGTCTATTCACCCGTGATATGCGTCATTTTCGTTAACATGCACTCTTATATTTCCAAATAAACTTGTTTGCCTGACTACGTTTTTGAGACTTATTTGCATCTGAGTAAGTCATGATGGTGAATTGTCAGGTTTTCTGGAGTGAAGAGTGCGGAGTGTTTTCGCAAGTTTGGAACAGCGTCATCCGTATTCACAATAGTGCTGCCGCCTAGAAGATCATTGATTTTCGTAAATAATGGCCTCATGTATTGGTTGCTTCTAATCTGTTGTGAAAGATGTAATTGCGGATGCTTGGTAATGTTTGTTGAGTTATGGTTGAAGGAAAATCCCCTGTCTGCCCTCGATCGGTTACTTCTTTCAAGTTTGTACGAGTCAACGATAAAGGTATGTATCTTATTTGTTGTTTCTGTAAATTTTCCTCACAACCTGTCAACCACCAGTTCATTTTAAACTTTCAGGTGTATTCGGTGAGCATTCCACTCTGTTCAAAACTTTCACCATATAACTATGCCTCATCTCAACGTTTCGCAGTTAGTAGAGTAGTAAAAATGCATGTGACTGGGCCACCAAGCACATTTCTCTCTCCGAGCAAAAGATATCGCGATAAAAGAAGGCAGGTTGGAATGATATCAAAAAGTCTGTGGAAACAGCAGTGATATCTGCTAGCAAGGTAAACCATAAGCCTAGGATGAAGCCGTGGATCTCAGTAGTATCCACCGAACTGATGGATGATCAAAAACTCATCCCTGCTGGCTCTGAGTAGCGGAGTCAGCTCAGACGTAGGCTGATAAAAAGCCTAGGTAATGATCGAGAACAGTGGCGGGTGGAGAAAGCGAGAGAGATGGGAGAGGCAACGGCGATAGGCAACTATTTAGACTCGTCAAGGAGACTGGTATTAGTAATCCTAGTGTAAGTGAGACTATCTCGGAAAATGATAAGACTATTATTTATTCTCAATCCAGGAGACTGGATCGATGGGCAAAACACTTCAGGGACCAGTTCAACTGGTCTTCAGCCACACTTCGGTTGCCCACGATTCCCAGTCATCCTAAATGGCAAATTCTTTGAGTCTTTTTGAAGTTGAGAAATCTAGAGAGGTTGAGCAGCAGGTCCTGATAGACTGACCCCTGAGATATTTAAGGATGGTGGTCCAGTTTTAGTAGCTAGGTTGACTGAGATCTTAGGTAGAATCTGGGAACTGGACGTAATCCCATCCGACTGGTCTCAATCACTGATCGTCCCAATTTATAAGAAAGGACAGAAGTCTTCTTGTGACAATCACAGGGGAATAAGTCTAACAAATATAGTTTCTAAATTGTTAGCCTCCATTATACTTAGACGCCTAACAAGAGCTCAAGAAGAGCAGACTCGAGAAAACCAGGCTGGTTTCAGACCTGAACGTGGCTGTATAGACCACATCTTCACACTACGACAGGTCCTGGAACAAGATACACATTTAGGCGTCCTACAATAGTTGCTTTCCTGGACCTTAAGGCGGCATTCGACTCAGTGGACCGTGAGGTTCTGTGGCAGCGTCTGTCATTGAAAGGTGTACCAGAGAAGTACATTAACCTCATACAAGCTCTCTACTCGAACACCACTAGTCGAGTGAGAGCTTATGGCGGACTGTCACCGGAATTCCTTACGTCAAGTGGTGTCCGTCAGGGATGTCCACTTTCTCCATTCTTGTTTAATTTTATCATAGACATGCTCCTAGAAATAACCTTATCCTCGTCTGAATTTTCAGGAGTAGACCTTCTACCAGGTGGCTCGCTTATTGACTTAGAATATGCCGATGACATAGTCCTACGTGGTGAAGACGCTGACAAAATGCAGAGTCTTCTGACTATCCTAAGCAACAATGCAAGCATGTTCGGGATGCGGTTTTCCCCCTCGAAATGCAAAATGTTGCTTCAAGGCTGTTTTATTGGCACCTGTACTAGGGATAGGGAGTGAAGTAGTCCGCTTCACTTATCTGGGGAGTCTCATCAGTGCTAATGGCCTGGTGACTGACGAAATCTCAGCACGGATACAGAAGGCTCGATTAGATTTTGTCAACCTGCGTCTCTTGTGGCGTGGACGAGATATTCGTTTGCTGACTAAAGGACGAGTGTACTGTGCAGTAGTTTGCTCCGTCCTACTATATGGCTGTGAAACATGGCCGGTAAGAATATACGACATTCGTAGGTTTTTAGTGTTCTATTATAGATGTCCTCGAAGCATTGCTCGTATATCCTGGGACAACCGAGTAAGCAATGCTGTTGTCAGGAAACTAGTACTAGGTAGGAACGACAGGTCAATAGATGTAGTGGTGAAACTTCGTCAGTTGAGGTGATTGGGACATGTGTTACTGATGTTTAACCACCGACTGCCTCGAAGAGCTTTGTTTTGTAGTGTAGGAGTAGGTTGGAAGAGAGCTAGGGTGGCCAAACCAAAACATGGCAGAAATGCATGAAATCATTGACGAGTGAACTTAGCCATGTTGGTAATTGTCGACTACCTGGTTGGGGTCCGCGAGACAAAAGTCACCGATGATAACCATCGGTACATATGCATCATCTCGCGGACCCCAACCAGGTAGTCGACAATTACCAACATGGCTAAGTTCACTCGTCAATGATTTCATGCATTTCTGCCATGTTTTGGTTTGGCCACCCTAGCTCTCTTCCAACCTACTCCTACACTACAAAACAAAGCTCTTCGAGGCAGTCGGTGGTTAAACATCAGTAACACATGTCCCAATCACCTCAACTGACGAAGTTTCACCACTACATCTATTGACCTGTCGTTCCTACCTAGTACTAGTTTCCTGACAACAGCATTGCTTACTCGGTTGTCCCAGGATATACGAGCAATGCTTCGAGGACATCTATAATAGAACACTAAAAACCTACGAATGTCGTATATTCTTACCGGCCATGTTTCACAGCCATATAGTAGGACGGAGCAAACTACTGCACAGTACACTCGTCCTTTAGTCAGCAAACGAATATCTCGGCTATGCCATAAGTGACGAAGGTTGGCAAAAGCCAGTCGAGCCTTCTGTATCCAGCCTGGTTTTCTCTAGTCTGTTCTTCACCAGTTCTAGTTTTGTGTTCGAGTACTATTGAGGCCAATATTTTCGACACTATATTAGTGATTCTCATGAAGATTTTTGTCCAATCTTATAGACCGGGACAATCGGAGATTGAGACCAGTCAGATGGATTTACGCCCAGTTTCCAGATTCTACCTACGATCTCGGTCAATGTGTACCTGTTAAAACTGGACCACCATCCTTTGAAATTTCAAGGGTAAGCCTGTCAGTCCCTGCTGGCCTACCTCGCTTTAGATTTCCTATAGCTTTTTCAACGTCGAAAAGACTCAAAGGACTTGCCATTGAGGATGACTGGAGATCGTGGACAACCTAAGCGTGGCTGATGGACAGTTGAACTGGTCTCTAAACTGTTCTGCCCATATATCCAATCTCCTGGTTTGAGGTTGAATGATACGGCCATCCTTTTCTGAGATAGTTTCACTAACAGATGGGTTTCTAATACCGGTTTCCTTGGTGAGGCGGAACAACTGTCTACTGTTGCTTATCGCCACTGCCTTTTCCATCTCTCTTGCTTTCTCTAACCACCACTGTTCGCGGTCATTTCGCGGACTTTATCAGCGTGCGCTTAGCTGACTTAGCTCTTCGTCGTGTTCACAGCCAGGTGGGATGAGTTTCCGAGCATCCATCCGTTTGGTAGATGCTACTGAGATCTACTGCTTCTCCCTAGCCTTATGGTTTACCCTAATAGCAGATATCACTGCTGTTTCCACAGCATTTTTGGTATTATTCCTAGCTGCCTCAGGGTGGGCATCACTCACTACATGGTCGCCTAACTTTTTCCTTAGTTGTTCCCGAAATATATTCTCAGCTTTATTATCATTAGGTAAAACCCTAAGGGGTTCTCCTTGCGATATTTTTCTGTCGACCAGTAAGACGCAAACAATTACGTGCTCGCACCGGAGTATGAACAGGTGCTCCAGAAAGAGCGTCAGTCTTCAATAGAGCCTTTCCATCAACGGCTTATAGCGATGTGATCTAGTTGGGTCCAGCGTGGTGACGACTTAAAGGGTCGCCAGGTCAAAAGATGTTTTACCTAATGCCCAAAGTCAGTATTTGCCAGAAATAGGCGATTATCTTAGCGAAGCTGCAGCAGACGATCGCCATTGTCTGTTCTCTGAGCCGCAACACCATAACATTCACCTAGGTGTCTTTCATTTTCACTCAGTCTACCTACTTGAGCATTAAAGTCACCAGCCATTATTACTACATCAGAGCGCTTAAGGTTTTGACGAAGTTTAGAGAGGTTACTGTAGGACTCATCTTTCACTTCGTCTGAACTGCAGTCAGTGGGAGCGTAGGCAGATACAACGATGAGGCAACGGTGAGTGTCCCTATCTTTCCGAGTCCGTACCGTCCCGTTTAGTCGGACAGCGCATAAGCGGCTGTCTCTTGTGATATCCAGTCTAATAGCTCTAGTTCTGCCCTATGACAATACTATTCCTACGCTAGCGCCGTCACGAGAAGCAGCATCAGGGCTACCAGAAACACAAAGTGTAAACTGAGTTGTTTCTCTGTCTGCATTAGGTGAGATCAAATTGATGATTTTACTCGGGTCTTGTATGCGCGTTTCGGAGATGCAACATACATCGATAGATGGGACTCCAGAATTCTAGCTAGTGAAGCCTGTTGCCCTATTTGTCAGGGTTCGAACATTAAAGCCCTAATATGTAGTTTAGTACGGGGTCTTAGGAGACCAGGAATAATGTCTTGTGAGCCCAAACCGTTTGCTTCAGCGGTGCGAGGTGACAACCGATCGAAAGGGTTGGTCGAGGAGATAAGAGAGTTACTAGATGTACAAATGATTTGATTGTGACCGATTTGGTCTCGTGT